AAAAAAATAAAGGCATTCATATTAGAAAGGAAGAAGTAAAATTGTTATTATTCACTGTTGACGTGATTATCTATGTAGAAAATCGTACGGATTCTATAAAGAACAGTACTAGAACTAATAAAAGCTTAGCAAGGTTGTAGGATACAAAGTCAACATGCAAAAATCAATGGTGTTACTGGTTAATATACAGTTGGAAACAAAAAAATTAAAGCATCAAAAATATGAAAAACTGAGATACGTTTGATAGAAGTGTGAAACTTTTACACTGAAAACTCTAAAACCTCACTTAGAGAAAATTAAAAAGACCTAAGTAAATGGAGACATATACTATGTTTATGGATCAGAAAAATCAATATGGTTAAGATATCATGTCTCCTCAAAATAATGTCTAATTCCAATCTCAGTCAGAATCTCAGCAGGTTTTTTTCCCCCCTTCAAATAATGTCAAACATATTCTAAAGTCTAGAAATAAGTTATTCTAACTTATTCAGAAACTTATAAGGAAAATAAAAACGACCTGTAGTCAAAATAACTCACAACAAAAAGAAAAGAAATTAAAGGAATTACACTGATTTCATGACTTACTAATATAAGGCTGTATTAAGATAGTAGTGCATGTAGTATTTATACATAGATGACATATGTATCATTGAAAAAATAGTCCAAAAATAGAGCTACACATATATGTTCAACTGATTTTTTAGCAGACGTTCCTTGGGGAAGAGGTGATCTTTACAAAAAAATGTTCTGGAACAATTAGATATCTATATGCAAATAAGTGAACCCCAACTCTTACCTCCAATCATATACAAAAACAACTTGGAATTGGTCAAGACCTAAATGTAGAAGCTGGAACTATAAAAATTCAGAAAGAAAACAGGAGAAAATCTTACAGACTTTGATTTTGGTCAAAATTTCTTAAATACAGAAGGATGATCACAAAGTGAAAAAAAAAATTAGTTGGGCTTTATTAAAATAAAAAACTTTTGCTTTTCAAAGTACACTATTAAGAAAGTGAAAAGGCAAACCACAAACTTGGAGAAAATATTTGCGAAACATATATACAAGGGACTTGTTTCTAGACTAATAATAATTAAACTGAACTTTTGCAACTTAAATAAGACTTATAACCCAATTTAAAAATGTGCAAAACATGTGAGCAGACACTTTACCAGAAAAGATATATAGATGGCAAATATGCACATTCAGTGATACTCATTATTAATCTTGAGTGAAATCCAAATTAAAATGACAATGAGCACACAATACAACCTCTAAAATGGCTAAAATTAAGGAGTTTTATTAATTAAACACTAAGTTTTTGACTATATCCTAGAAAGAACTGAAGCTCATATCCTCATAGTAGGAATGTTAAAAAGGTACCACTTTGGGAGATGATTTGACATTATCTTAAAGTTAAACATGGATCTCCCATACAATTCAGCCATCCGACTTCTAGGTGGAGTGGAAGTGTGTGTCCACGTATGAATACTCAGCCTTATTTGTAGTAGCACAAAATGGGAAACGACTTTTTCCATAAGGAGGTGTTTGGTCTTTTCTCTTCCTCCTCAAGCACTTTTATTTGTATTTCCATTAAAGCTCATATCTTACTATAATGTCTTATCTTTATTTTCTTCGGCTGTTGCACAAGTCAGACTGCTTTAGTCCTGCCCTTCTCAGTGCAGCAGAATGGGTGCTGAGAGGGCCGGATCTTTGTCTTAGCCCTTGACATGTGGGCTGACCAGTTGCCTTATTGGGGTGTCCGTGTTCTTAATTACTGATTGAAGGGATTAAATTACATGTATTCATTCATGAATATTTTTGAGCACCTATCATGTCCCAGGAACTCTTTTAGGTATTAGCAACACAATGAAGAAAGTAGGCTGTGGTCCCTGCCCTCATGTAACCAGTATTTATTAACCTATTACATGCCAGCCACTGTCCTAGGTTTGGGGAAGACCAATTTTATTGTCTTAATCTCAAGGAGTTTATGAATTTGTAGGGAAAAAAGACCAAAATAAGTAAACAGGCAAAACTATAATTGTAAAAGTTGTTCTGAGGGAAACAATATGAAAGAGAACGCACCTTTTAGCCAGCCCATCGGGGGAGGCCTTGGTGGAGGTGACACCCAGGCAGAGATTTAGAGAGAGAAAGAGAAAAGGGGCTCAGTGTCATATCTCTTCTCCCAGAAGTCTAGATTGAACATAACACAATGATCTGATTTCTTCAATTTTAGACATCTCTAAATGATAATGGTTTTATGGAGCAGCTATTTACTTCACCCCTTCAGGGGCTTTCGTTGTCTTGTTCAGCAAATATAAATGGCAGTAAATTAAACAGATTTAATTCTCCTTTTTGAAGTTTAATTAATACTTCTTTGGCCCATACTTCATAAGTGAATGGGAAACAAAAAAGATAAAATGAAGCATCTGTGCTATAGTAGGCCAAATGGGGCTTGAGCAGGAGAATTGGACTTGGAAGATTCTTGGCCTGTTTTAAAAGTCAGAAAAATTTCACCTAAACCCCCAGCCTTTTAGCATTTCCATTTAAATCTTTAGGCAACCAATTAGAACTGAATGGAAGCAGCCCTCTTTAATAGCATATCTCCACCAATGTTCATTGGCACCAATTCAGCACTAATAGGAATCCTCAATTTGGGGGTGCGGTGAAGAAGGAAATTATTCAGTGCAGGCAGCTCCATTGTGATTCAGCAGGGCTGTGAGAATAGCATGACTGTGGAACAGCTCAATAGTGTGTAGCTCCATTATGAAGCAGCATGGCTGTGGAACAGCGCAGCTGTGAGGTGGCGCTCAGGAGATGCAGCCCTTCTCTGCTCTGGTGTGCTCCATCTGCTCCTGTTCACTGTACTCTGCCCAGCTCTGTGCTCATCTACATCACTCTGCCTGCTTTGCTCTGTTGTGGTCTGGCGAGACATCTTTGATGTTTCATCTCCAGTGTTTTAGCTCCAGCTAGGGAAATGCAGTATTTAGTCTTCAGTGGAAAGGGAAAATGTACTCCTTGAGCCAGAGGAGAGCTGGTTTACATAGCTGGAAGTTCCCATCCCTGGTCCCTGATTGGTTCATCTTCATGCAAATAAGGACTCCAAATTCTCACAGTTTGGTTCAAAAGGCACTGCCATGACTGGTCAAAATGGAGCTGCTCTGATTGATTGGTGAAGATGCTCTGCATCTCTGATTGGATGGGGAAAACCTCAGTCTTACTGGTTAAGATACAATTCCAAGAACTTTGTAAGGGCTGGCTCAGATGGCAGGAACACAGTGCAGGCAGGTAGGTCAGTGTGGGAGGCAGGCAGTTCAATGCAGGTTTCTCCCTGAAGTGCAGTTTGTGTGAGAGGCCCTGTATAGAAATGGCTGCTAGGCTCTGCTTTTAAATTTGAGACCAGTTAGCCATCAGCAGCCCTTCGTGGTGGATATTTTCTTTTTTTAAGGGTCTGCATGTACATGCTCTCAGGTCTCAGAGCCACCCCGTTTGACCTCCTTCACTCGCTTATGTCATCTGGCTGGCCTTGTATAAATTCATTTGTCTAAGAATCATCTCAGGAAATTTCTGGTTTATATTTAAACATTTATGCTTGGAACCAGCCTGCTGCAAGTCTAGTCTACTAGTGCCGGGATGAATTATTCTAACGTGCATCAGGTTAGAATCACACTCTTAAGACATAATGCTGGCTGTGAATGTACCTTTGTTACAGGATTTACACAGGAGTATGTGCTCTCAAGAGTGAGGACTTGTTTTGGTAACTTCTTATTGACCCTGACACTGAAATATCTCGTAGTAGGTATTTTAAATGCTTGTAACATAAATGAATATATGGTATTTTAATTCCAATATGTGTTTGACCTCAAAAAGCAAATGTACTTAAAAAACATATTTCCTAATTCAGATGTGTGGGTTTTTAGAGTTTTCTTTAATAGATAACTCATTCATGTAGTTTCAAGATCAAAATATAAAAGGGAATAGAGTGAAAAGTCTCCTTCCCACTTCTGTTCTCTATGTGACCAGTATGGCATGCTCCCTCCCATGAAAGTATAAGAAGGGCAAACATAGATTTTTATTTTCCCGCCTTTTTACTCAAAAGGTGTCTTACTAAATATAATGCTCAGCTTTTTGCCTTCTTTGCTCTCAACATATCTTGAAGACCTTAATCACATTAGTAGAGAGCTTCTTCCTCCTTTTTTTTTTGGTTCTTTTACAGTTAAAAAATGTTTCATTGTTTGGGCATATTATAGTTTATTTAACAAATATCCCCATTGAAGGACATTTGGATTTTCCTAAGCATTTGTTATTTTAAACAATGCTAAAACTAGTACATTTGTATGTATGTCATTTTACCTGCACACACACGAACACGTACACACACAGAGAAGAATATGCAATCTATATGATAAATTCTCCAAGTGGAATTGATGCACATGTTATTTTAATGTATATTACCAAATTGCCCTCTGTAGGGATTATAGCATCAGGTGTTGTTAAACCTAATCTTGATTTTTGGAACACTGTTTTAAAAAGAATATTTACTTTGGTTTTGTTTTCTTGCTGAGTTGGGTTATCTGAATTTTGATAAGAGTAATAGGTTGTTTTTAGATCTTTGGTTTTCACTACTGGCCAAAGACTCTCAAGGGGTTCCCAGATTTATATGCTAAATGAACATCAACTACATAGAAAATAATGTCTCATACGTGTGTACTGCATATTTCAAATGTACGTAGATGAGATTGTATTTAATAAAATGCCAATTCATTTAATACTGTTACTGAACTAGAAGTTCAGCTAGTTACAGCTCAGCATCTAAATCAGTGGTTACATTGTTTTAAATAACCTTGGACTTTGCTGGCATGTCAGGTTCATTTTGTGCCCTATCAGTGTTTTCAGAGTAGCTTAGACTAGAGGTATAGGAGAACAGAACCAAAAGACTGTGCATGTACTATGAGTGTCTATTTGAATATTTCACAATAAAAGTAATCTTTTTCTTATAGATGTTCCTTTAAGGACCAGCCTGCCACCGCCATTCAGAAATTACAAATATGGTAACAAATTTTTGTTATTCTTTTAAAATATATATTAATGTAAAGTCACATTAGGTTTGTGTTGATTTGAGTTTAAATTTGGTTTTCAAAAATGAGTTTATTATATGTAAATAAAAACCAATATGGAGGTTTATTTAGAACTGCAGGAATTGTAGTAGTATGTTGTTAAATTGTAATTGTGTAGGTAAGTGGCCTATTTGTGAGGAATAGCATGTTTGGAAAACTATGTCAAAAATGAATTTCTTTGCTGGGTAATCAAAAAGGGAGAAATGATTAAAGACTAGGAATTAAAAGAAGAGATTTAAGATTTTAAATTCCAGTAACTTGAGAATGTTATGTCATAATTTTTATGTTGCAATTGTTGATTTTAAAATGTAGTAATAAGGCAGTAAGCTGGGTCTTTTACTATTTGTTATAAAGATTGTAGTTATTTATTAACTTTGAGCATAGTGATACCAAACTTGAGACTTTTCTAGAAATTATGATATACTGAATACATATTTCTGTTAATTGGTACAGAACATTTTAAAGTATAAATATTTTATTACCTTAGATCACTTTTTTGAAGTAGATTTTAATTCTGTTCCCTTTTGGTAGAGCAACTTATGACCTAAAATTCTTTGAAATCACAATCTTCCCCGTGTGCATGCATCTTAATATCCAGAGACTAATTGTGAGGTCATAAGGGGTAGTCAAGCAGAAGTGGAAGGCACTGAGTGGAAAGTACTTTGATTTATTGGACTTAAAGAATTTACATACTAAATATTGAATAAGAGAAAGGAATAAAAAGCATGATTAAGTAAATATGAAACTTCTCAGTTTTGGCTTTCATTGCTTTCAAAGCATAATGCCTTAAGCTTGAATCAATCTACAGATGCCATTTCATTAGAATAATTGTATATGGCTTCCCTTTTTTGTATGGTCTGTATGTATATTCAAATTGTGTTTCATGTAAGTTCTTTTGAAAACTATGTTTTAGATAATGAAAGTATCAGAACATTTGACTGCTGATCATGGTAGATAGTACCTTTTACATTATTTTACCTTATTAACATCCTTTTGTCCTGGTATTCCTATACTATTCAGAGGAATTGGCAGAAAAAGTAAATTCATTTATCTGTGAAGAAATTAGAGAAGTACTAGGGTTTAGATAGACTTCAAGTGATTCTGAGTTTGTCTCTTCAACAATCTGCTGCTTTGTGTTCAGCAAGAAAGGCTGAAGTGTTACTTTCTCACCTGTCATTATCCTCCAGTACTGCTACATGCCCAGTGGGAATAGAATACTTTGGGTGTTGGGAAGTGGAAAGGGCACAGAGGTGAATTTCATCTTTGTTAGTTGCTCTCTCCATGCCCTTGGACAAAGGGCTGGTTACAGAGAGTCTGAGATTTCTCAGAGTCCTTCATTTATTTATAAATGTATCCCTCCCATTTAATTGGCATCTTCATCTATTATTGATTTATCTTGACCAGATTGTATGTTCCTACAGACAGGGGATAGTGTCTTATTTTTAAATCCTTATTGCCTAGACATATTAGTTGTGCATATGGGGCTGATAACCCTGTTTTATAAGGCTGTATTAGATTAAACAATGCACATGCAAACATGTTAAATACTCCACAAATATAAAGTACTATTTTTATTTTCATGAAGTTACTTTCCTTAAGGAATTTGCATTAAGGAAACAATACCCTCAGATAATTGTTTCTGTTAATAATGAAGATTTTTTTAAAGAAGTAAAAACAAATGAAAGAATATTTAACAAAGAAAGGGACATTAATGCAACACCTTTTGCCAGCTTGTCATTTCTCCTTTCTTACTCTCATCCCAAGTCTTACCAATTTCTGTTGGAGAGAAAAACCTGGTGAAAATTTATGTTAAAAGCACTTACTTTCTGCTAAAAAATGTGGTCTTCTTATTGGGGTTGCAGAACTTATTAGAGCAAAAAATATTTCTGATTTAAAGGCTTATTAGCAAAATATATAGAACATGATAAATACTTGGTAAGGTCTGACTTCAGTTTTGAAGGTTGATTGTGACAGACTTTAAGCAAGATCCTTTTTTTAAATAGCAACAACAACAAACTACTATTCAGTCCTCTAACTTGTCTCCAGTAATAATCTGTTATCTATCTCTATTGAGAAAAAGAGTATAATAGGTAACTCAGAATAATAGATAATCCAAAAGCCACATGTGTTGATTTTCTTGTATACATTGTAAGCTAATTTTTAGCACCTGTGGCATATTTACATTACTAATGTGCATATTTTACTTAGATTTTTCTTTATATCTTAACAATACATAGGATTAGGCTGACCTTGCATTAAGTATTGCAATAGATCATTGAACTTTGACTATTTAAAATAACGGATACTTCAGAGTGCTAGTTCTTAACTGGATATATACTCCTATTCTATTGTAGTATTAGAACATAGTTAAATCAAAGTCTGTGTTTTAAATAGATCCTTTCATTTCACTGTTGGAATTCCTCATTGAATCAAATAACATGATGGATAGAAATGAATTCCAGTTTAAGGTTAAAAGTTTATTCAGGCATAGTAATACACATATGTAATCATAATGCATTAATTAAATGGTTAAATAAAACAGTGAAAAATTGGAAAATTTTTCAGTTTAAACCTGTGGAATGCCATGTCTGTTATATAATTAAGAGTTGATTGTTGATGGAGTTAGAATTTTACCCAATGTGGAGAAATTACTTATTGGAAAAGCACTGAGTAGCCTGGCTTTAAGATAAACAGACGGAAGTTTCTAAGATGGCTGCAGAATAGGTAGAAGTTACATTAAGCTGCTCCTGGTCCCCAACTGGACTTATAGCTAACTTATAGACCATCAACTTTAGGCTAGCTGAACTGAAATATTATAACTAAGGATTTACAGAAGATGCCACATAGAGACTGGTAAGAAGGGCGGAGACATGGAAAAAGCTGGTCCCCATACCCATGTGCAGTGGTTGAGAAGCTGGAGGGATATTTTGGCTATAAAACTCTTCTTCCCTGGAGCAAGTGGTCTCAGTGCTATTCAGGAATCCCCAGACTAGAGCAACAGGGACAGGAAGAGGAGTCCTCATAGCATCTGGTGGTAAAAATCAGTGGGGACTCAGTCTGACTGGGAGAGAAGGGTGTCCAGCTAGAGACCCAGACATGACCTCCTCAGGGTCAAGCACTCCTGTTGTTAAGGCACCAGCCTGGGGAGTGCACTGCTTGGTCCTCCAGCTACTGGTGACTTGACTGTGCTGTGCTGAGGTCCTCCAGAGAGATCTGCTGTCTGAACCCAGCAGAGACTTTTGGGGTGCTCTTTTTCTGGAGAAGCTTTTGGCAGAGACTGGTATTCCTGATTGAACTGTATAGCTTTGGAAAGGGACCAATCTTTCCCACCTCGTGTGCACAGCCAGTGCCCCCCCACCCCACAACCTGTGGAATCATTGGGCCTGCCGTGCCACTCCATGGCCCCACCTGCTGAGTTCAGTTGTGCAGGGGAATCAGAGTGGTGCACAAAGCTGGTACTTTCAGAGCATCTCCTAGGGTGAATTTTGTCTGGAAGTTAGACAGACGGGTGCTGGGTTTTGTGGCTACATCATGGCGGGTAGCACTCTTATTTCCTCCACAAGCTCAGTTTACACTTTCTCAGGAAGGAAGAGAAGTGCCTGACCTCCTCCTACAGGCTTGCTGCAAGCATCTCCGGTGGGAGATTGTTTGGATCAGCCCTCTCAAGTCTTGGTGCCCCGCCCAACTGAGCTCAGTTCTTCAGGGGGAAGGCTGTGCTACTCTGAGCTGGAACATTTGGAATGTGCCTCTCTTGGTGGCTACTGTTTGAATCCAGAACAAAGTGGTTGGCTCCCTCCTGCAGACTCGGCTGGCACCACCACAAATGGGAGATTCTTGATCTATCCTCCTGAGACCTGGTGACTCTGCCTTGTTCAGCTGGCTCCTGCAGAGGCAACAGCTGGCTGCACCCAACTTGAACCTGCAGTATGCTCCTCCTGGGGAGCTATAGTTGGACTCTGGCAGAAACTGAGTCTTGTGGCTCTGGAGTGCAGGGTCACTTTCCCCTCATTGAGTGCCTGACCATGTAGTCTACAAGTAGGGAACCCACTAGACCCATCCTCCTGACCCCATTTACCTTGTTCTGCCAAGCTCATGACCTGGGGAAGGTCTTTCTTCAGAAGGTTCTGGAGGAAGACCAGACAGTTCCTGGGGGAGGCAGTGTAGCCGACAAGTGTAGGCGGACCTCAGGGAGCCTCAGACCTTTTATAGATCTACCCCCAGCTCTAGGCTGGTTAGTTACCTACAATGGAGCTCCCATAAGGCTGTCAGCTGATTTCTCAACATAAATACTTCAAGGCAGAGGGAATGGGCATAGAATATTCAAAGTGATGAAAAGCAAGGATCTACAACTAAGACTTACTTTACCCAGCAATGCTATCACATTTAAATTTGAAGGAGAAATAAAGAACTTTCCAGACAAAAAAAGTTAAAGTAATTTATTACCACCAAACTGGTAATGCAACAAATATTAAAAGGCCTTCTTGAAGAAGAAGAGAGAACAAAAAGAGAGAGGAACAAATAAGTACCTATCACTGATAAATTTAAATGTAAGTGGAGTAAATGCTCCAATCAAAAGACATAGGATAGCTGAATGGATAAGAAAACATGGCCCATATTTATATTGTGTACAAGAGACAACCTCACAACAAAAGCTACACACAGACTGATAGTGAAGGGATGGAAAAAAAAGATTCCATGCAAATGAAAACAAAAACAAAGTTAGAGTAACAATACTTGTATCAGACAAAATAGATTTCAAAACAAAGACTGCAACAGGAGACCAAGAAGGTCACAACATATTAATGGGATCAATCCAAGAGGATGTAATTCTGGTAAACACATATGCACTGAACGAGGAGCTCCTAAATATATAAAGAAAATCTTGGTGGACATTAGAGGAGAGATTCACAGGAGTATAGTCATAGTTCAGGATT